CTATGGTGGGATTAAGAAACAGTTAGAAAGAAAAGACTACTTTGAAGAATGGTCACTGTTACTAGTGTACATAAGTATTTTTTCATAATGTTTCAATGAAAACCAATTATGATCTGTCTTCCTTGTGTGATATTGTAATGCCAGAGGATGCTTATAAATGAAAGCCTTTAAAATATATAGGTAAGTAAGTGAGAAATGCAGAAGGCAATCATCATCTTGTTCAGATTTGAAGATTTCAGTGACCCTGTGTAAAAGCATCCATCTTTGGAAAGCATGGTAGTAATACCACGGTTTTAATCAATATTTTACCAATAATAATGAGTAAATTAGTTAAGTTGAGAAACAATGGATATTTGTAGACTCCTTAAAAATGGGCATGTTAATTCAGTAAGACTTTTCTCAAATGGATAATTTTCCTGTGAATGTGTCTTCGAAACAATCTTTAATTTGGAATTTAAGTAGCTACTTTTCTACCTGAATTTTTATTTTCAACTTCCATGTATGTGATTACTATCCATTCATGTACATTTTTTATATTACTGTAGTACAAGATTTTGTCGTGTCATAACTCTATTGCATTACTTTATCAAGCTAATTATTTAGTGGAATGTGTACACCAAAATTATTTTCATCAGTTACCATGAAGGCCTTGTCTTCTCGGAAGGCATTCCTTGAACTTGTAATTTACCAGCTGATCCCAGGGGATAAACAAACCAACTCTTGAATCAACTGACTGAATCTCAGGAGTCAATACGAAGAAGCAGGAGACTAAGAAGTGCAGAATGCACTAAGATAAGCAGAATGCTTTCACAGTAATAAATTTGAAGCTCTGTCTGTATAAGTTGGTTATTTAAAAGTCAAAAGCTAATTGACTTGTGATTTTTTTCCCCCTAGTAAAGTGGTATTGTTTATTGTTTTGGGATTTTTTTGGGGGGAGAAATGGCCATTTTTAGTTTTTCCTATTGGATCTTAGCTACTTTATTTGATCTGTGATTCTCTTCCAGTACTTAGTGTCATGCTCCTTCAACCTGAAGGGAAAAGGATTCTCTTACATTGCTAATACTCTATTTGTAAAGTGCTTTATACAGTCGTTGTCAGCCACATTGGTTACTCTTTCAATTAGATGCAATGAAAATGCAGCAATTTTGTAATAAGTACATTCTAATCAAATAGAATTTTTAACTTGTTTATGGGTTCATGTGCATAATGCATGGGCAAAATAGTGCATATGAAGCTAGTCTCTGGATGCTACACTGTTTATCATATTAAAGAAAAAAGGTTTTCATAGTAATTAAAAAAAGATACTGTGGTGGAGGCATATTAAAATAACTCCAGCATTCCAAAAGAGAATTAAAAAGTATAATAGCATGCCTCAAATTATTGTGTAACTACTGTTTTCTCATATTGATTCTACTTTGAATGCTTTCAACATAATTTGCCCAGTGAATGCCTTATGAATAGAAAGCTCCATGGAACTTCATCATCCCGCCAACATTAATCGTGTTTCAAATCAAGAAAAACTTGTTAGCTGTCAGATTAATTAAAATTAGTATCTGATAGTCCAGAAAAAGCAGCCAAATTTGGGGTTTTTTATTGAAAACTTTTATTTCTAAAGATAAGTATTAGATTCCAAAACTCAGCTTGGTAATACATAAATAGACAAACCCCAAAAGTGTCTTTCAGATAATGAGTTTCACAGATCAAATTTTGGTGCTCTGGGTTCTGTGATAGATGTGAAAGGTGGAAATAATATCATTAGTAAGAATATATCACAGTAAACATTCATTCTAGTTTTGGGGAGAGTAAATCTTCAGTTACTGTATGCTTTTGAGCAAGGTCTGTCTACTTTTGCATTATGAAAAGGCCAAGGTTTGCTAAATTTTTCTCAAACTATGTAGTCATACAGTATGTTTTCAGCCATCACAAGGATGGGATGTATCTCTATGTTTTCTGCATAAAAGTTCTAAGACAGAGATATCCTAATCACCAACATTCTCTAACCTTGATTTTTTAAAATTAAATATTTTTTTAAATTAAAATAGAGAACCCATCCTCTAAACTGTGTCCTTTAAGATAAAATAGCAATGTAGAGAGGGTAAAATACCAGTATGTGGAGATTTGAAAGCCCTTTTAATACCTTGCACACAATGAAAAATAGATAAAACTCAAGATTTGTGATCAATCCTTTTAATATGAAATAAATTTCAGGAGATAGGAGCTTTATTCAAGGAAGAATTACTCTTAAGTTGCATGTCTGAAGATCCCTCTCAGAATTTATCTTGAAAATCTTAAGAATTTATCTTAATAATTCAATTTTTCTCTCTGGGATGACTTGGCTATTTGAACACAGATTTGTAAGACAATTCAAAACAAGTCCCACTAAACCTTGTGTAAATCTTAACTTAGCAGTGTGTCCTCTCTATCTTAATAGTAACAGGTTTTGAAACCTGGAAATAAAATAATGGTTCTCTAGGGAAAAAAACCTCTGTGATACTTCCTTTCTTACTAATTTAAATATGGTTTCCTTTCAAGGGTCAAATACTTGGTGGGATAAAGTCGGTTTGGAGCTGTTCTTGATTTCATTCCACAGAATAACTTTAATCAGTTTTCATTCTAAGGTAACTTAACGCCAAATTGAAATTCCAAAGAAAAAATAAAATGTAATAAACGGTGTGGTCAAAGCCATCACATTTGAGTTGAAAAGCAAGCAAGCAATCCAAAGCAAGCAACTCCTCCTTTGCCTAATTTGGAATATCATAAAAAATGTGAAAAACATCTAGGCATGAATTGGTTGGTGTACATAGTATCAGCTGTTGATCAACCTTATCCCCAAAGAGTCCTTTACTAGTAAAGAAAATTATATTCAACTTGTATTCAACTGTATCTCATGGGAAGAATGGGGAGCAGCTTACGTGGAAGCGAATTATAAAGTAATTGCTTAGATTCCTGTCTCCTCTATTAATACCACAGACCTGATGACTTCATCTGAAACTGTTCTGAAGAATAAAAGTAAGCACGTTGTTGCTTGAAATATAGAAAGTCTGGAGGTGTTACTTTTCTATCCTGTGTTCAGTTCATTTTAGGCCAGATTGGATCATTGCATTTACTCTTATATATGTATGTGTATATACACATATACACACACACACTCTTTATGTAGTGAAGGCATATTAATAAAACTACTTACTAGCTCCATCCTAATACATGTTTCCTGTTCCGTTAATAATGATGATGATAATATGCTCTATGCTATTTGCATTTTAAGAAATCCACTCTCCAAGTAAGTATGTAAAATAAGATTGACCTCGTACATGGGAGATTTTTGTTTTCTACATTTTTGTCTTGTTCCCAGTCATCCCTAAAGCAACAATAGTACAGCTGTCCTCAGAGCAAAGTTAATACTTTACTCCTAAGGGAAACAATTCATTTCCACTTTCACCTTCCATTTGCAAGTTTTACATATGTATAGAGTCATAGAATGGTTGGAGTTGAAAGGGACCTTAAAGCTCATGCAGTCCAACCCCCTGCCATGGGCAGGAACATCTTTCACCAGACCAGGTTGCCCAAAGCCCTGTTCAACCTGGTCTTGAGCACCTTCAGAGAGGGGGCAGCCACAGCTGCTCTGGGCAGCCTGTGCCGGTGTCTCACCACCCTCACAGTAAAGAATTCCTTCCTTATGTCCAGTCTAAATCTGCCCTCCTTCAGTTTAAATCCATTCCCCCTTGTTCTGTCACTACAGGCTCTAGTAAAAAGTCTGTCCCCATCTTTCCTATAAGCCTCCTTTATATATTGAAAGGTCACAGCAAGGTCTCCCTGAAGCCTTCTTTTCTACATGCTGAACAAACCCAACTCTCTGGGCCTTTCTTCTCAAGAGAGGTATAATCTCTTAAATGTGAAGTAATGCACAGGAGGTACATGAGCTTGCTTCCTATATCATACTTGTAGTTAAACCATTTTGATATCCTGTCTCAGTATCCCAATTAACACAGTATCCAGTTACGAATTCATTAGAGGGATGTTCAAGAAACTGTATAAAACCATTATATACTTAATATTTTTCGTGAGACTTTTCTCTAAAAATTTGCCAATTAGTTATTGTTTTATACAGTGAAAAAATATTTTAGATACATGTATTATATTGTGTGTGATAATCTACTATTTTGGCTTTCAATTCTGATTTAAATGAAATAAATTCTAATTAGTTCTCCTATTGAAAAAGTGTTTGCACTGAATACTTGTGTGTTTGAAGACTTTAACATTTTATTACTCAACTTAGCCCCGAGCTCCTGAATCACTGAGAGGTGGGTGGGTTCTGCCACAGTGTCCAGGTCAGTCTTTCAGTTTGGGAAAAACTGGTACCCAGTCTCTGCCTGTGCCATGTTCCCCTCCATACCCCACAATCTGCTTCTCCCATTTCATCCTAGGCAGGCAGAGCCATGGTTGTGTTGCATACTCTGATGGTTACAAGGGTGGTCTGATAAAAGAACTAAACAACTATCCTGTTGTCTTTATAGGAATTAAATTTTAAAAATGATGCTGCACTTTTCTGTCCTCTTTGGTCAGATAGCAAAGCCACTTCCTCCTCTATTGAGAGGTAGGGGGAAGTTTAAGGGCCAAAAGTGCTGTCTTTAAAAAACTACAAATTTCTTTCATCTGCAGCCACAGACAGGACCTTCACAAAAAGTTGGGTGGATCTCAGAGAGTTTTCATTTTTAACCACTGCACAATGTTTAGAAGAGCTTAATACTGTCTGCCAGATTGAAGTTTTCTTGTATTCTGGAGTATTTATTTTCAAAATATATGGACTAGAATTCCTTATTGCTTTAAATGTGCTTTACTTTGTACTTATGAACATTATTTTTAAACTGTACTTTGCTGTTTAATTTTTTTTTTTCATAAGGGCTCTCTCAGTCTCTGCACGCTTCTTCTCTTATCCGGATATATTACTTATTTTTCTGTAAGATCTTACTACCCCACAGCAGATATCCCTTTTCCTTTTAATAGCATATACCAAAGAAACCTTCACAGTTAGTTCAAGTTTGTTAGTGTTCCTAAAAATTTTGATAATACTTTAAGGTTTAAAGAATCATTTATTTAAAAAACCACAGAAAATTCAGAGCATCAGCAAATAAAAATATCTTGGTTAAACTTCCAGTGTGTTTAATTGTTTCCTTAGCTTCTGTTGTATTTTACGATTAATTTATGAATATGTATTGGGAAACCTGAGTGACTTGCCATTTTCTGCCATGTAAAAAATGACTGGAAAATTCTGTCTTCTGAATTTGGCACAATTAATGCACCTATATGCTATTAAAATACAAGTATTAAAGACATGCCTGGTATATTTTAATATATATTTTAATAGGGTTGTGGTTTTTATTTTTTTTAGGACAATTAAAGTAGAAGTGTATGATTGGGATAGAGATGGAAGGTAAGACGTTAATGCTGCTGTTAAACTTGGGGGTTATCTATGCATATTTATCTACATGTTTAAAAACATATAAATATAGAGTGGCCAGAACAGGACTAGACAATGGCATTTATCAATAATTAGTCGTACAGGTACTGGAAAAAAGCTCTGCTGTGCTACAGTGCTGGTTTATTTTGCAAATGTGGTAAATATGTCTTAACCCATTTCAAACATGGTGTGTGTATGCTCATACATGGAACAAGCAAGATCAAATGCTTTGTGATCTGTAAAATCAGTTTTGTGAATCTCATTATTTTATCAGTTAATGTATATGTATGAAGAGAAGGATAATGCATTTTATAATCTGTTTTATTTTGCTTAAAACACTGCTTCATATACTGTTGCTTTTCAAGTATAATAAAATACCTAAGCCTGCAATTGCTGTTTCATGGCTACCTAGATATTGCAATGTAGAAACTTCCTATTAATTATCATAATTCATATTGCATTTGAATGTTCATTTTCATGCCTTTCTTCAGCAAAACATTGTTGTAAACTCTAGAGTTGGAAGACCTGGGTTTTATGTAACTTAATTGCGAAGCAGAGGATGGTGGAATATACATGGAATTTCTGTTGCTAAATTCAAGAGGGGCAACGTGTTATTATTCAGAATTGCTTTCGGTATTGAGTATACCTTTTTTCTGAAGAAACTAGCTTTTCAAAATTCCTTTATTTTTATGAACAAGATAGAATTACCTTTTTTAGCTGACTGGATTGATACGTCTTGTTCTTTTAGAAATGTTTCTGCTTGTATTGGTTAGAAGCTGTACTTGTAAATCATGGTACTAGAACTTGTATGTAATACAAGAATATGTTGATTTCAATCTTTAAGTTGGTTTGTCTTAATACTTTCCTATTAATTTATATTTTTAAATAAATGGATATGCACTTACATTGGAATTTAAAAAGTATATTACTTACTATACAGTAATGTCTTTAATATTGCTAATGCAGTTTGCTTCTAGTATTATAGCTGATGATACTGTGCTCCTGTGGCCCAATAGATCTTGTAATCATAATAGGCAAATTTATCCTGTGCTGCCATTCATTTCCTTGCTGACGAGGTCCAAAAATAGTTTCAGCTTTCTTAGCTTATACTTATGTCTATTTGGTTCCGTCATGAAGCCAGTTTCAGATTCTGTAAGCTTACATTGGGGTCAGATCACTAATTTACAACCTAGTCCTCATTGTGCAACTAAGTTAAACAGAAGCCCTTGGAAAGATTTAAGCAAACACTTTTAATCTCTAAATTTTTACTACTAGTAGAGTGAACACACAAGAAAGAAGAAAAGCAAAGATTTTTTAAAGCAAATTGTATCTTTTGCCATTGCTCCTTTCTTTGGTGTAAGTTTATATTGCTTATGCTTCTTTTTTTCATGAATAGATGTAGTACACATTTAAATTACTAAATGCTGTGCATTTGACTAAAAGTTTTTTTTTTTAATACAGCCATGATTTCATCGGAGAATTCACAACAAGTTACAGAGAGTTGTCAAGAGGGCAATCTCAGTTCAACGTGTATGAGGTAAGTACTGTGAGTACTTACTCACTTTCAGGAAGTACATGAGAACACTTCCAATGTTTTCATGGCAAACCGGTCAAATCTGCACAGTGCTTTTCAAAATAAAAGTTTGCAGTTACTTCACATTTCTCTTTTTAAAAGAAGAACAGAGAATCTAAAAGTGTTGTTTCATAAAAAGATTTAAAGACAAGTAGGTATGTGTGCATGTGTATGTATGCTGGGTTGTGGTAGGGCAAGAAGAGCACTTCAAGCAGCTGGGTTGGTATGACATAACTTGGAGCAAATACTGGATTACCCCTAATTGTGTATGGACAGTTTTTTTCTCCTTTTGCTAATGGTCACATGTGTTGTATGCTATTTTCTCCTATTCCAAGAATATCTGGTGATTCCTTCATCAGATGCAGTCACATGCTTTTGATCTTAAATGCAGACATTAGAATCTTCAGAGTTTTGTTGCAGGGCTACAAGTAGGAGAGCCTGAATTTAGACTTGTATATGCGTTGATATATATGTACTCACAGTATTCTGTAAAAATTCGTTTTCCTAATACAGATGCCCACAGATATGATGGTGTAGGCAAACACTAATACAAGGTAGGGAAGTAGGGTGCTCCAATTATGTCCTGCACTTTTATTTTGAAGATGAGCAAAGGTGCCATGGGGTTTTTTTCTTCTTTAGATCCAAGATCAACCCCAGAGTTACTGTAATTTACAGCAGTTTCCTATGGATAGTATCACCGCACAGGTTACTGTGTGCAGTAAAAATGACCTCTCCTATTGTATCACTGACGTGACTCCTACCCTACCATGAATATTCTGTCATAACATCTTAAGTAATTTTGGAGTTTCTTCAATATACTGTCAATATCTTACTCCCAGCAATTGCATACATTTCCTGAGCATCTCATGTTTGCCTCCCCACATTGCAATCCTCTGTACTTCGGTACTGCTTCTGCTTGATCAGCCTGTGCAATATCAGAAAAAAAGAGACTGGCCAAATTCTTTTTTAATTGCTTTGTATTTACAAACTTGACCAAGGCAAGTAGAGAAATTTGTGTTTGAGTAGGTGGCCCATATTGTCACATTAGTAGAAACATTACTGTAACAAGCTCTTTTCAATTGACCTTTTTTAAATAAAGAGTTCATGTAGCTTCCCAGGTTACTGCAGGGACGTAAGACTTTCAGAGACTAATAAATTGTAGGAATTGTAGGAGAGAGACAAGCTGTGATTTAATTCATCTTTGATCCCAAGTAGATGCCTTGTTTCTCATGATATTTCACTCCAAGCTCTAGTGCATTTACTCACAATTCCTAAGAAGCCAATTGTCAAGTTACTTGAAGCAGAAGGTTCAAATGAATCTCCTTTTTGCATTTAATGACTGCTGGCAAGAAATATGCTGCTAACTCAGGCCTGACCACTGAATTCTGGAGAGCTGGGAATGAAGGGCCACAGGGCAGGCAGGCAGTCTGTTACCTTCATCCTTTTCTGGGGAATTGCCAGCAGGAGTCACTTTCTGGCTAAGATTCTGGTTCAATAAGAATTACTGTGTTGTTTATAAACCACCATTACACAGATTTAATCCATTGCTTACCAGTCAAGACACTGTTAATAGGAGAGACAGGGGTTATTTGAGGTTTTTTTAAGTATTAAAGGGCTTGTATATGTGTAAGGCAGTAAAAGCTTTGAATAATACTTACTGGATAACTGTGTGGCGTACTGGAGGAAAAGAAAGAGTCGCTCTCATTTATCCTGTTTGGACTAAAGATCTCAAATTATAACTATCTCTGCTTTACATTTCACAGCTGTTCAATGTTGTGCAAGGAATATGATCTTTAAATGTAATTCCATTTTGGTTGGAGGGAGAATTTTTGGAAGACGTGTATTGCTGTTTTTCTGATCTTCAGGCAGAATTGTTTAAATATTTTATAGCAGTTGAGTGACTAAGATTTCAATTGGGAATGTTTTCATTTCTTGTCATTCACAGAACATCTGTGAGTAGTTTACAGTAAAACTTGGCAATAAGCCACAAGGATTTGAGTTTCCTAGTTATAAGGAGATAGTTGATCAACCTAATTAACAAAATAATGTTTTGCTTCCAATTCCATGTGCAATTTTGAAAATAGCAGGAGTACATTTTAATGTGTATGTAATGAAACTGACTGCAACTTGCCTTTGAATGGGTAGGTACTCAGAAGGGAAACAATTTTTGTTGGTGGCTACAGTGATCAATTATATAGGTGTGAGTTCAAGACATTCAAGAAAATTGTTTAATGCTTTGTAATCCAGTTCTGTGAAGATTCTTGTGTATGGGGAGTGCGCTAAGCCTCCACAACTCCTGTACACCAGTCAGGTGGTGGTCTGTGCCCTTTTTGTAAAATTACTGACAAGTTTCTATTCTGGCAAAGTATGATCTGTACCCCCAGTTGCTCTTCCTGTCAGCCAGATCCTGTCATTGCACCAAATACAGAAACCAGGAGTAGAACAACTCTCGTGTTTCTCAGATATTACTGAGGAGAAGTTGGAAACAGATTAACTGGAGCATGAAGAGGTGCACTGTGAGATGAAGAAGTGGTGACACAGTACACAGAAATACTGGAATCAGGAATGCAGAAAAATGCAGAATCTTGTGAAAATCCACAGAAGTGTTTCACTGAGCACTCAGATTTAATGAACGCTCACCTCTGTTGCTCTGGTTCCCTGTTTGTCAAATGTGAATAACAGCACTGGCTTACTACATAGCAGATACCATGAAGATAAATTCACCAGTTTTCAAATATGCATATATTGCAGCAAAGAGGTGCATAAGTAAACAGTATGCTGAATAAATTTAGAGTCCACTGAAAATAGACTGCTTTCTGCATTGCAAGTATCTTAATGCTTATCTTTATGTTAAATCATAAATCATACTGCTTTAATATTTGTATCTGTGTTTCTAGGTAATAAATCCGAAGAAAAAAGGAAAAAAGAAAAAGTATGTTAATTCTGGAACAGTAAGTAAATGTATTTTATGTTACTGGATGCTTTGCTTTTCTCTTGAAAGAGAGCGTAGTTGACTTGTAATTTAATAGGATTAGAATATAACCTTCTTTGAAGCCCACAACAAATTTACTCTTAGACAGCATTCATTTTCAGAATTTTTTAATTTGAAGAATCTGATAAAAACTGTGTCCAAGTCTGCTGTTAAGTTGTCCATGTTTTACAAAATTAGTTATACCAAAATTTCAGTCAGATTCTTTAAATTATTGGACTGAACCCTACTAATTTTTATCTAAAACGTTTCTACACTTTTAAAAGAAAATCTTATTTTTAAATTTAATTTGAAGACTTGTATAGGTTTGAAAACATGATCAGATATATGTTTTTTGAAAGCACATCCAGCATTTAGGGTTTTTTCCACATGAACAGTTCCACTGACGTCAGTAGGGCAGCTTTTATTCTGAACCCTAGCCTTGGAGGAATGTGTTAACATTCTTGCATTCTTGTATAAGTCTGTTCATCAGTAGGAAAAGAAACACTTATTTTGTACCTCTGCTTTAAATTGTTAAAACATAGGCAGAAGCAACTTCTCCATGAAAATTTACCTTACAAGATCTGATTCATTAGGTAATTTACTTTTTGCTAATGTGTTCCTTTTACTACGGTTTAGCATTAAAGTTCTGTTACGCTAAATTAGTGAGTCAGAAACTTATGAAAAGTGATTGCTTTAAATTAATACTAAAAGTAAATCTACTCAAAATTGTAGATATGAAATCTGGCTTAGGGTACAGAAGAGCAGAAAAAATGCATTTACATGTTCAATTTTCCTGGTGATTTTCGTTTTTAAGTATTTTAACACCTTTACGTGCATCTGTCTACATTTGAAAAAAACATATTTTACTCATGTTTGAACAGACAGAATCAACTGTATCTTGTTATCCTCTGTCTCAAGTTACATGGAAATTTCCAATAAACAGCTGTTAACAATATTCTTTCCTCTTTCCTTCTCTACCAGTGTTCTCTACTGTTAGTTTTGTAACTTACTTTCTTTATCAAGTCTTCTTTGCCCCCTTTTTCCCTTACTTCTGTTAGTCCTTCAGATTTCCCTTATGCTTCTCCAAATTTTCACTTTCCTTTGTGTTTGCCTGCAGTTTTGTTTTGTTTCTGTCATTCAGCCAAGATACTCTTTATCTGACGGATTTCTAAATTTTCAGATGAGGCACCAAGACCATCATTCTCACTAATGGGAAGTTGGCTTCTGGAAAACTTTAAGTAAAGTGGATATAGATCATTGACTGCTACCTCACTGCTGCTTTCACGGACTATGTGCCTACAGTAGCCGTGTCAATTTGTTATTACTTAAGGAGTCATTTTAAATTCAGACGGACAAACTACATACTAAGCAGAAATGTTTCAGAATACATTATTAGTTTTGAAAAAGAAAAGTAGTGAAATTGAAAATTCATTCTATAAGACTTGGAATATTGGTAGACATTGTCTGTATGGAAGTAAACACTGGCCACTTTGGAAGAGTGTTGTGTTTCCATGTTTTACCTTTTAAAATCAGATTCACTGAAAACATTTGCTTAAACTAATTAGGAACAACATGACCAGCTGTAGTAACAGATGAAACCTTACAATGACTGTGTCCAGTGAAAAAATGCATAGAAATTTCAGTCTTATATACAAAACTGTGCTACTGATAGTCTGATAGAACTTCGTTATGGTCTTCTATTCTCAACTAGAAGGGTAATTTGATGCTTTTCAACTTTATAAGTCACTAAGAAACACAGAGAACCTGTGAGGAAGAAGGTAGGATAGAAGACGAAATTACTGCGAGTAATCTCATTCTGAGTCCAAGTTTACAATATAGCAATATTTTCAGTTTTTATATTTTGCTGGAGTTGGAGGCAAATAAAATTTTCTGACAAACTTTCATCCCCTTTTTATTCCTTGTATCATTATCAGTGAATTTCCTTTGAGTAGTTACTTAAGCAGTTTTCAATGACTGCCTGATGTACTTGTGAGAGAGTTTTTTTGGTCATTTTTTAAATAAAATGAAAATAATTTGGATTTAATTCCTTGCTTCATAAACATTGTGTGGCATATGAAGATCTTAAATGCTGGATCTTTTCCACTTGAGTTTATACTTCTGTGACTCGAGTGCTGGAATTGTCAGTAATACCTTTAGACCACTGTCTGCATTTTGGACCTGTACCATTTCTGAAGATGAAAGCTCGGACTGAAGAAATTTCTTACCTTTGCATTTTTATATATTCTACTTTAAAAATTGTAATGTATTTCATATATACATATATTTTATTGGATTTTTGCATTCTTGTGTGTAGATGTAGTGCACAGCGAAAAGCAGACATGAATGTGGTAACCTGCCCTGGAATACAATCTTCTATCCCTTTCTTTTGCTTAATACAAAAAAGTAATTTAAAAAAAGGCAATTGTAGTGTATTTCCAAATTTGTCTCTTCTGTTTCAAGAATTGCCTATTGAAATGGTTTCATATTTTTTAAATCTTCTTTTTTCCCTAATAATGTAGAAAATTACATCTTAAGGATAGAGCTCCAAAAACATTGTGCTTATGTTCAACTTGTGCTTATGTTCACTTGTTCAACTGGGAAATGACAATTCACATCTAACTCTCTTATTTGCTTTCAGGTAACATTGCTTTCCTTCCTAATTGAAACAGAAGTTTCATTCCTTGACTATATTAAAGGCGGGTATGTGATTGGCAACAAACCTTTCTTCTTTTCACAGTCTCATTGTAATCCACTAATAATTTGTATATGTACTTTGCATATGATGACTCCAGGTATCTGTAAAGAGCTGTATTGTTTCCTCATTTTAGAGGCTGTACTTCTCTACATAAAGCCTGCAGATAGCTATTGATGTAAGTTAAGTTATGGAACTTCACTTATGTTGGAATAAGTGTTAGTACTAAAACACAGAGACTGAGTAATGACCTCTGATAAGCCAGTGAAAATTGGATTAACCAAATGGGAATTTTCTATATACTACTGTATTAGTAAAATACTGTATTATTTCTTCTCATTACACTCACCTGTGTTGCATTTAATGTTGGCATTTATTTGGAGCCTTTCCCCTTTAAAGACATTTTTTCAATACTACTTATGTAAAATTTGTAACACAATTGCTCATTTATCGTTATTTTCCAAAAGGGAAGTAGAGACAGAAGCATCAAATGGCTTACCCTAGAACATGCCTGGAAATGAGATTGAATCTCAGACATTTCTGGCTCTTAACTTCCCTGTCAGAACACAATTCTTCTCTAAGATAAATGGAAATAATTTGTTATACTTTCCTAGGCACTTAATATTCATTTTTGAGGCATATAATCTGAATATACGGTCCACATTTATATTAGAGCATTTATTGACTGTGAAGAAACAATTTACTTTTTTGTTTTATAACAGTCTTCAACCAGGCTCCAGCTGAAATAAAAAAGAAGTCTGTGTTGTGTTGTGTTGTGTTGTGTTGTGTTGTGTTGTGGCAGTAGCAATATAGGGCTCTGCCTTTGTTCCCAAGAGTGGTAATCCTACAGATGAAAATGTGTTTAAAGTTTATTCTTACCACATTCATCACTGAAGTTCATTAAGTTAAAGTGACGCCCCCAATCTTAATTGTTAGCTACAGATAAATTGTCATTAAGCTATGTCGACTGCTATTGCATTCAAGGTTTTGAAAAACAGCAGCCTCAGGTTGTGCTCCATACTGAACTGGTAACTTAGAAAATCCAAATTCCCTGCTGTTTGATCTCCATCCAAGAAAATAAATATTTTCACTAAGGGTGAATTCAGTCTGTTGTGTATCTCAAAACACTGTGTCTTTTGACTCATTAATACTAAACCTGACAAGAATACTTAATGCATAGTACTTAAAAATGTGAGTGCTTAATTAAGGTTTTTAACATGGATGTAGATGTATTCTCTTTAAAATTCTTATTTGGTATCTTTGGAGAAATTTGTTATTTGTCTTGCTCATTTGCTTGCTTTTTGGTGGCTGAACGTTATTTTCTCATTTGAATAGGATGCAGAGCCTTTGCAACATTTCAGATTTGATTGTTGGATATCACAATGTGGTATGGTACACAGGGTGGGTTATGGGTGACCTTCAGAGGGAGTTGTATAGCCCCATCACCGGGCTGTGTAAGTAGTGGGACACATTAGTGGAGGGAAGGAGCTGTGTCTCTCTCGAGAATGGCTGGAGAGCTGGGAGTGGAGCTGGGTAGCATGGCTGGCAGGGCAGGGTGTCACCAACCAGGGCCCAATTAATACAGGACGTGGGCAAGGCAAGCAGGGCAGGCCCAGGGATGGTGGCCAGGCTCAATTAGGAGTCCAGATCATCAGGGAAGTTTGTGGTGATAAGGCCAGGAAGGCAAAACACAGATCTGGGTCAGGATCAGGTCCAGCAATTGCCAGACAGGCTTGTAGTGGACAAGGCAGGGAGATCAGGGCAGGGAGATCAGGGCAGGGAGATCAAGCCAGGAAGCCAGTCCATGGGTCAGAGTCTGGATTAATCGAGTCCACGGCCAGGCATGGGCTTGGCTGAGCTGGAGTCCATAGCTCAGGCAGGGACTGAAGGCTGAGCTGAAGTGGGGGTCCTGAGCCAATGGTGGGGCATGTGGTAGAGGGCTGAGATTACTCTGTTTAGGGCCATTAAAAGACTTTTTAGTACACTTAGGATCCCTGCACTTCATTCCAAAATGCTTCAGGACTGCAAACTATCAAGCTCTTGAAGAATTGCTATCCTTACCTCCAGTTCAGTTCAGTTAACTGGAAACACTGCTGCTGGAATACTTCTTTATGTTTGCACTCTTTGGATCCTACAGTGTCTCCTCAGAGAGGAATTAATTCAGTTGTCGACTGCATCAGAATCTGTTACAGTTTAGCAAAGGTAAAACTTCCTAATATAGGTCAGGCATGCTGTCAAGGTACTGCTGCATCTTTAACATCTGAAGAATATGTTGACTCTATGTGCTGTAGAGAATTCTGTCAGCAGGTTTGCTTGACAAGCTGTTCCTGAGGCACCTATTGCCGTGGTTAGGAAACCAGCTATTTCTTTAATTTTTTAGTTGATTTCCAGTTAGTTGTATGGCTTGTTGTGCGTGCTTTGAATCTCTGTGAGTAACAGATGGACAAATACTTGAGGTAACAGAAGAGTACTTGGAGCATCAAAGTTCTGCATGTGATTTCTGTATGAACAGTCATTGTCAATCTGTTGTGGAGCCCTTCTGATTTGTGCAAGTGTTCTTCTTTTAGTATGGAATCCTAGAGTTTGAGAGAAACAAGTTACTTTTATTAGGACTGGTGTTGCCTTTTTCAGGAACATTCCTGTTGTGAGCTTTAACAGAAACAGAATGTGGTCATCCGTCCATATTTACCAAAAGTTTGTGTTGGATGAAGTATATGTATATACAAATGCATGAAGAAACAGTTTTATGTCTAGTGTAGCTGTTTGTTCTTTGAAGAGTGCTGTACATATACGCCACGATAGTCTTACTCCCCATTCATTCAAAATTTATCTCTACAAGAAGAATGTGTATAAGAGACCTGAGGAATTAAGTTTTATATTTAAATTTGGAAAGAAAAAAATACAGCGTGTACATATGTAGTATTTTTAGGTTGGTTTATCACATTTCTCACTGAGATGTTACAATACAGGTTAACCTAATTATCAACATTCTATAGATAAATAATAGAAATTTTGAATACAAATATTTTGTTCTTAGTGATATTTTGTATTTAATTCTGTAACTGAAAGTCAACCTTTGGTATTTATAATTACCCATTAAACTTTTTTCTTCTCTTTTATATAAAAAGAGTATAATTCAGTAGAATTTTCTGTGCTTAAAAGTATGAGCAGTAATACTTATAATTTAATTTTTTTATATAGAGTCTTGCTTAGTGATTCATATGGTTATTTCTACGTACAGGCCGGTGAAAACTGTAGAAGTACTTGTATAAAATGTTACCTTTCTTTCTGCAACATATACGGTTTTGCAAACATTACCAGAAGGCTGAGACTCAGAGCGATTTTGTCGGCTTCTCTCTTCCTTCATTCAGCTCATTTAGTACTACTACATAGCAGTTACAGTCCAGTTGTCAGATTCTGAAGGAGGAGGAAAGAGAAGATTTTGTCATTAATCAGTCTGTTTTCCCATCAAGTGTGTCCTCCAAAATTGGTTTTTCAGTTCCCTATCTTTCTTCCATTTAATTAAGCAAGGGAAAGAAAACACTGATGCTGCAATAGGCACAGTATTGGCTCTTCCATAAATTGATGTTTATGAAATACTTCATGTTTAGGACTTCCACTGTAATTGATTTGGGGTGTCTAGAACAAATACTGATTAATAGAAACCTTGACGGCTTTAACTGTGACAAATTGGAATTACAGTATTGATTTCATTTATGTTTTGAGTCTGCATCTGTTTAATTGGGATATTCCATTATAAGTATCATTAATGGGACTATTATTTTTAATAGAAGAGGAATGAAATAGAAGTTTGCCTTTAAATTCTAATTTCATCTTACTACATAACACTGGATTTTATAGTAGTGTGGCAGGAAAGAGGTGGATGTAGCTTCTGCATCTGAATATTACATCAAGTGCTGCCAACTTAGTAACTGGCTTTTCCTTACATCTTAATACTTAATCACCCATTTTGCCACCCTGACCTTCCCACATTTAAAATTGGTATGTTGTGCTAAAAATCAATGTATATTTCAAAATCAGATTTCCCTTGCCACCTACCAGTTAATAACTATTCCTATCAAAACACTTCCAAATACATGAATAAGCTCAGGAATGTAAGGGATGTGGCCTTGAAGAGGAATGCAATTCAAATTGTCCTGTTTTACAGGAATGACTTTCAAACAGTTAGTTTATACTCTAACTAGAAATATAAATAAATATTATAAATACCTATAAGTTTCTAGCCTCTTTGTCTTATTAGAATGGGGAGAGAGCTAACAAGTTACTCTAGGCATTTGTAAATCAATAAAATTCAGGAGCTGAATAATTTTGGAACTCAGAAATATAAAGTCATCTCTTCTGTCCCAGATTAGTGGAAGATAAGAGGAAATGTTTTCCTCCCATCATGTTAAAACCCTTACCTTTATCCAGGTTTTTAGAAATGAACACCCGCATGTTGTTTGGATTCTAAGGGTTTTCAACATACATTTTGAATGGAACTGTACTGCATCATCGATGGTCAAAATGGAAATTTAGAACTCCTTTCATGATAGCTATTCTATATATATATGTAGTGGTGCACTTATTTGATGTTTGGAGACCTAGTGTGTGATACAGTTATGAAGCAAGAGCTGTGATAGCTACATATTTTGGAGGCTTTACCATATATTTCTTGTATCCTTGGAGAATAAGGATAATGAGACTATATAAGAGGAAGATCTCAATCATTTATCAGAAAAATCTTCTTTGTGTTGATACAACATTTGGCCAAATAAGCATCTGCAAAGAAGAAATTATAAAATAACTGTCACTGGGGACTTAAATGCCATGGAGAGGATTCAGCCTTTTGGTAGCGTTAGTTACTCCATTAGCTCTGTTTTAGAGCTGTGCACAGTAAGTGGTCCTCAAACCTTAAACATCTCCCCCCTGCTAACAGACCAGCTGGTTGTCACTCAGAACCCACAGGAGGAAACTTGGAAATTCATGTTTCCTTCCAATGTGCTGTTTAAAAAAATCCCTAATTGTTACAAATGTTATCAAGCCTAGTCAAAAGCTTCATCCAGGCTTAGTTTGTTCCCTTATGTATATCAGTGCTGTTAGAGCTCTTATTAGAAAATGATAGGTTTCACCTTGCCCTCCTAAAGAAACAAACAAAATGGCTGCTCCGTGGTTGTGAGGTGAAGGTTACTGTTCCTTTTAAGATACTTTCTTCACTGATGAACACTGATGTCTTGTGTAACTTAGATTTCAATGTCTCTTTTCCATAAGATTATATTCAGAGGGATATTTCTGGTACATAATCACAGAATCATTTAGGTTGGAAAAAACCTTTAAGCTCATTGAGTCCAACCATAGAACTAACACTGCCAAGTCCACCACTAAACCATGTCCCTAAGCACCATGACTACACATCTTTTAAATACTTCCAGGGATGGTGACTCAACCATTTCCCTGGGCAGATTGTTCCAATACTTGATAACCCTTTCAGTGAAGAAATGTTTCATAGTATCTAATCTAAACCTCTCCTGGCACAACTTGAGACCCTTTCCTCTTGTCTTATCGCTTGTTACCTGGGAAAAGAGATCGACACCCACTTCGCTACAATCTTCTTTCAGGTAGTTGTAGACAGTGATAAGGTCTCCCCTGAGCCTCCTTTTCTCCATACATATGTTGTCTGATATATGGAACAAGATGGCCATTGAAAACATAAGGCCATCACGGTGTAGGTTTGCCTTAACAGAGTATGTCCTAGCTTTCCTGGGTCTCTCTAAGACATGAATGATGTTCTTTGTGGTCCTGAGTCCATAATACAAAGTGACAGCTGCATTAAGAGTTAGATCCAGTTTCCTGAACTATATAGGCATTTAATGCCATTTTAGACTTCCAAAAATTTCCATTCTATAGTAAGTATAAGCCCTAGGGGCTCTAAAATAACATTAGGAAGCTAAATTTAGGAAACTGAAATCTAATCTATGTACAATCATCTATAAATTGTTTAAATCAAGTAATTGGTTTAAGTTCTTGCATGTTTTTCTATAGCAGTATCATACATACAAAGGGAAACAAATTCTAGAGATGTCTACATCTGTTTTGATCTTAATTTACATCATTTTTATAGCTGTCAAATTAGCAGTTACTGTAACATGCATTCTCTTCTGCTTGGACAAAAATCATAGTCCAGATTACAGTGGATTGTAAATTGGAGATGGAGTTTTTCTAGTTTACCAGATGGGTTTCTCTTCTCTGGAGCAGTATTTTTTTTTTATACGTTTAATACAGATACACCACTTTGAGGAATATTCCAGAAACTGATGCTGTCAATTATTACCTGTAGCCACATGAAAATTGACATGATTCTTTTTGCCATTAGATGTGGTTTTAATATTTTCTCTTTTACTTTGTTAACCATTTTCCTTTTAAATATTCTTTTACTGTGCTTTCTTTTGTTTCTGTCTTGAATTCAGAATCCTTGAAACTCTTATTTCTTCTTACCAATTGGATGAGAATAGTTGATCCAGGAAATGAGTTTACAAATAAGTTTTGCTGTTCTTATGCAGAGGAAAAGCTGTTTGAGGTTTTTTTTCCTCAGTGACACATTCTTCAGCACACTGAAGGATTTCTGTACTTGATGTACCTGACATGTAATGCTTGGAGGAGTCTTGTTTTGTTCTTCAAACATTGCACCACACCAAAGCCCTTAAAATTTACGTACCAGGAGATTATAGCCCAAAAGCAGTTTTGCTTAACAATGCCTATAAGGACTCTATAAATCTAGAAATTGTATTGTATTAGACTTTATTGTTCTTGTTTTTCCTAACCTGTTCTTATCTTTGAAAGAGAACTTTTCTGCACATGATAGTGATGGTGGTAGAAAACCAGTTGACATGCACTTCTCAGCATCTTTATTCTTACAGTTAATGACAGTGCAGGAGGACATTGGGATTTAGCAGCCGTAAGGTACAAATCAAACACAGTCTGACTTGTCATGCCGTTACAGTTTTTTTGGTGAAACTGCATGAGGTAGAATGCAGAAGTATTGGCAGAAAACTTCCTTCATAAAGCTTCGGTCTCTGAACTTCTCAGAGATTGCAGCAGCTTTCACTGTTTTGGTTTTTTTTCGAAGTCCGTATTGAAGCCACAGTGTTTTTGGACATATTCCAGGCTGATTCCATGTGGATTTTCTTCATACCTAGCTTTTTTTGAAATAAATAGTATTCTCTCTGGGCACTTTGAGCAGTAAAACCACTACTGCAAGGCCAGGTGTCAGATTGTTGCTGTTTAATCTAAATGTACATGAGTTAAATCTGTTCAGTAACACTCAAAGAGCTTTAATCTCTGCTAATTTGGTCATTAAGTTCATAGTTGCACAGACTGAGAGGCAGAAATTTTGAAGGAAGATGTAAAAGATTCAATCTGAGTAAAAAGTCAATTTTCAAGGTCATACAAACTCTTTTCCTGACAGTCTTACTAGCTAGAGATTATCTCCAGAACAACAGGATTTTGTCCTGAAGGAAGCTGTGGAACAGAACTGTGTTTAATTGGATTGTCTCTCTGTAAAAGTCTAGTAATGATTAATTTTTCTGACAATAAATCTATTCTAACAACTGATCCATGCGTGATAATGGCTTTATTTAACTACTGCTCCTAATACAGATCTTTATATTCCTGCTTCCAAATTTTACTTTTGTATTCCAATAATTTTTTTGAGTGATACACTCACTCAAAATACTGACTATGTTCACATGAAAGAAATCTGCTGCCAAAACCTATGATGTCCTGTGCAAAGGTTTTATGCATAGGATGCTTTCAGACATGTTCTGATTGAAGACACAGTTTTAGTTGTAAGAAAAAGAGCAGATTAGTAAAAGCCTGCTTCCCTTGTCAGTGTCTTCCATGACTAGGGCTAAAGTCTGTCCAAGGAAAAATCCGTGTTACTGTTTAATTGATAATGTTTATGGATGTTAATAACCTTATTAATGATTTCAGAGTTTTCATAAACAATGGAAAAAAGAAGGATGGAGTAAAGTAATAGTTTCAGTGTGTCAATAAGATAGTGTTTAGCTCTTGGCATGAACCTTATAAAAGAGTACTTTCAGTGTTTATTTACTCTATTAGAAAGTTAGCGTCCTACAGTTTGTCCACAAACAACTTCATCATCTCTTCTTTATTTTTGCACGTAACAGTAAGACTATTAATCAGATTTGTATTTGCTTTTCCTACAGAACCCAAATCAATTTCACAGTGGCTATTGATTTCACAGCCTCAAATGGTAAGAATAAAAATGTATGTCTTGTGTATGTATGTGCTGTGTTCATTTTTAAGTGTACATGTGTGTCTGTATGAATCTATATCGGTATTCTGTTTAAATTCATTTTATTATTAATTATCCGTATACCTGGCATCACCTGAATTCAGGATTCCATTTTGCGGAGCAACAGACCAGAGGCCAATTCCTGTCCTGAAAAGCAGGGCAAACAGAACAGATAAAAATTGAAAAAGCTACATATAAAATTGAATAAATTTGAGCAGTTTGCAAGTATGTGTGTACTTTCTGATTTTTTTTTGTTTCTTTATTATTGCTGGGTGAAAACTGTCTAACTAAAAAGACTTCACTGAGAGGGCCAAAAGAAAGGAGTATCAGGTGGAGTGAGGCTGAAGTGGGGTGGAGCAGAGATAGGTTTTGATCTTCCTCCAAAACTGCTTTGAAAATGTCGTAATACTTTTGTAAATTTCATCATAAAAGTTTATATCATACTATAAATTTACACAAATTTACAAGTCTAATCACAGTTTCTTGCTGCTCTTTCAATGCTGATAAAGCTACTGCTGTTAACCTATTAAAACATATAGCCACAGTTATATATATAGGATATAAGTTCATTTGCTTTTAATTATATTTTCTTTTCAATTTCTGCTTTCTTAGATTTCTGTCATTTTTAAGAGAGAAAATTTTGAAGTGATTCAGTTTTAAAGTAAACCTGATCCTTGCTTCAACAGGTAACCCTTCACAGCCTACTTCACTGCACTACATGAATCCCTATCAGCTGAATGCTTATGGCATGGCACTGAAAGCAGTAGGTGAAATAATTCAGGACTACGATAGTGATAAAATGTTCCCAGCCCTAGGTTTTGGAGCAAGACTGCCTCCAGATGGAAGAGTATCACATGAATTTGCACTGGTAAGTAAATAAATATTTCTATATTATTTGAATTTCTTTACTACAACAAAATTTTGGGAGCCAAAGTTGCAGTCTTAAGCAATTACTGGACAAGTAAAAAACAGAAAATGTGCTAATTCTGCTATCTAAAAGGCTGCTTCAAAATTTTTCATCATAGTGAAGTTACTAAGAGAAATCCAGAGTCAATAAGTCCCTGTAGGCCAAAAATAGCAATAAAGAAAAGTAATCGTCTTTAATCTCTGCTGTAACAGCATGAGAAACAGATGCTTGAAAGAATTCAGATTGAAGCTAATTTATCTTAAGAAGCGAGTGACTCACGATCCAAGTTAATCTTTCATTATTATTCTTACTGTTCCCTCTCATTTCTGGAATCTCTTTATCTTTTACAAGCTGCTCGTTTAGAGACATAGAGATAAGTAAGTGGACTATAAGCTGAGGTGACAAATCCGAGACTGCTCCATGTGCTAGTTAAATTACAAACCTAAAAGCTAATAGGATTTGCCACGAAAGTTGATGTGTTATAACTGATGCTTGTGATTAGTGTGGATGTTTATCTACTTGCTTATTTTGAGTTTTTTTTGTTCTTCTGTGAGTAGGATAAAGTTGTCAGAATTACAGCAAGTTTAGGTATATTAGGTGAATTTTAACTACATAGAGGCAAAGACATGGCAGAAGACTGGTGATTGTAGATCTGTGTGTATTTCTTCTCTCGGTCAGTGCTAGAAAACAATGTCACAGGTCTTATCTCAAGGAACGGTTTTCCACATGGATAGTAATTTAAAACAGGTGCAATTGCAGATATTCATTTGAATCACAGACATTATTTGGACTTCCATGTAGCAAGTTCAAACATATCGATACATATAATCTTAAGGCTAGTACAACAGCAGATTTATTCCTACTTACAGCTTTAAAAGTTGTTTCTAAAATTAATTCAGTTAGTTCATGAGGCATTGTGGTGCTTTTACACAGGAAAAGAACCAGTCTTTTTTTCCTTCTTCTGTATATAAACATATATAGATGTCTCCCATGTAATGCTAAGCAGTGTTCTCAGAACTCTCTTTAACATCCTAGATCAATTCCATGAAAAATCCTCTTTGCTTTTCTAGATTTTTTTCTAGGTATTCCCCTCTAGGGAGGTATCATCTACCTCAGAATGAGACACTGGCACATTAAGCCTATGAGGAGTTGACACATGAAGGAGAGTAAGGTGATTTGGAAGGTTCTGAAGCCTTACATGGGTCATTTGTGTGGACTGACATGGGTCATTAATCTGGCATTTAGCTTATATGTTTGTATTGTCATCTGTAAATTGTATATATAAATAGTATAAAAATATAATGTCTCCTCATTATAGAGTCATTATGGAGATAGGTAGTAAAATGCCTACCCAAAGAATTTACAGTCCCAGCCATTTCAGTGGGTTCCCAAAGAATAAGTTCCTGTTTCTTCATCTGTTTCTACAAGGTCAAAAATCAGTTTTCCAATGCAGAAACATTGTACCAAAACAATGAAACATTTATAGCTTACCTTCTACTCACATAGTTTATGAACATCAGGATCTGGCTATCCTTTCTTTTTTTCACATTTTTAAAATAAATCCACTGGGGCAGAATTGTGCTCCTAAGCATGATTCTAGTTTTACATCTGCCCTGTAATTCACACCTTAAATCCACACAGGGAAATGCCTGTTACTGTTCCAGGTAAGAAAGACTGTTTAATTCCATTTAAGATGATATTTATGTCTGGGAACCGGTTCCAGTGATTCAGACTGCATTCAGCATGAGGCTTCTAGAACCCCCTTCCCTGGACAGTTAACACTGGCAACCAGTCCTGGCACTTACATTGGGCATTTGCAGTAAACTCTCTCAAGAGTTTAGAATGCTTAAATCTTTGCCATTTAAAAATGTTCGCTAACCTACATAATTTTTGCTTCATAATTACTTTTAGTGATTAATCATATCTTATTTTCATTAGAATGGAAACCCTCAAAATCCATACTGCCATGGAATTGATGGTGTAATGGAGGCATATTACAGGAGTCTAAAATCTGTACAGCTTTATGGACCAACAAACTTTGCTCCTGTAATTAATCATGTAGCCAGGTAAGCACCACAACAGGTACTCTGCAGAAACTTCTTATTGTCCGTACAACTATCACATATAAAAGGCTAACAGTTGCATGATGTTAAACATTGAAAAAGGTATTTACAGTTGTTTTATTTATCCAGTCTAACATGATTAACTTGTACCTTTGAGTAGGTTTGAAGATCATGTGCTAGTATTATGTAGAATTTGATTTCTGATTAAAAATAAATTCAGGTGATCCAGTTGATCTACCCTGTGTTAAAATCTTAGGAGAAATCGTAACTAAAGAAAATCTTTGCGAGATCACTCTGCCATGTTCCTTTTGTGTCATTTGGAGCACAGAAATTTTCCTTCACAGAAAATATATTAATATATTTTTAAAAATGATAAAATGCAGGGGTTTTTAGTAGTTTCTCTAGTCTCAATATTTCCTAAACGTCAACAAAATTTTCCGGGTTTTCTGTGGCAACAATTCCCAGCTGGTTGTGGTACTGTTAAGGCAATAGTACAGCAGCCACCTTTGGGGAGCCATGGTGCTGTGTTACACAACATCTCATCTAACTTCTGACAGTAAAACCCTTCTTGTGTTTGTAGCAGTTTCTTAAGAGGGATAATGTTGCCTTATTTTGGCAGACAAGAGATTGACTTACAGTATACCTCCATGTGTTGGTTTAGGAAAAGTGATACAGCTCAGATAATTTAGCTGAGTAGCTACTTGAACAGATTTTATTTTATTTATAGATTGAGCAAAAGAACTAATGTTTATAAAATAAAGCAGTAGGGATGTGTAAATCAATGTACTGTTAATGTTTTATTTATGAGTTTGCAAAATAGTTAATTGTTGTAGCTAGAAATTATTTACTATCTGTTCTTGCTGTTGTTAGTTCTACAGCCCAATGAAAAATAATTTGCAAATTCTGTGGTGCAAGGAATTTTCTATGCACTCCAGCATATCTTGATAGCTGATTTCAGTTATTTATCACTATGATTAGTTGTTCCATCTTTGAATCTTACCATTCAAATTAAGTATGTGTATATTCCATTGCTTGTCTTTAGCAGCTAGCTGTCACCTTTTAGCTTTTCCTTTGACAGGACCTCTCCAGTAACAGTTTTCAGACTGTAAGGAAATATGCCAATCCTTATGACGGCTGAATTCCATATATGTGGCATTCAGTGTCTGCCATGTTCACTGGAAATGTAACCCATTGACTTTTCTGGCTCTTTCTTTGTTAGAACTGGTCGTATCAGCTGAGCTGACTGGTTCAGAATTTGCAGTTAACCTCAAGCCACTTGTTCATTGCAAAAATTGAAATTCTTGATCTAGTACCATCAAAGCATTGGCATAAATCAAGTTCCTTTTCTCACCAGATGTTTCTCAGAAATATTTGTCAACTTTTGCAGAATTACAGAAGCCTGTCATCATTATTTGTAGTTCTTCCACTAAACTCTTGTCTAAATAACAAGTTGTTGCAAACTTTGGGAACTCCTTCTGGAAGCAAATCACACTAAAATATAGTAGAAAAGCTAAGTATCTTAATGAAGATTTCTACAGTATGATCATCCTTAATACAATCCTTGTACCAGTCCAGTTCTCAGTAACATCATTTTCCTTCAATGTTGAGTTTCTTGGCTATTCTATTGACTGTCGTAGACATGGTACTAGAAACTGTGATCTAGCCTGCAGTTACTCTTTCAGCCTAACTTCAATCTCAAAGAAATTTCATCTTCCCACATCCCTCCTACTTAAAAATATGCCTTTGATGAAATCTCTGGAACCCATGTTAGATATTGCTACCTTGTTGTGATCTTGGAATTCTCCAGAAGCTCTTTAAGCAGATAATGAGTTTATTATCCTTCCTTCAGCTAGGAAGTTATCTAAACTACACCAGTGTTGACTTAGTGTCTTCTGTCACCTCCCATCCTCATATAAGATCTTCCTTCCAAAAGATTTGAGAATGTTTTATTCTGTGGAAAATTTGAAATAACCAATTTCTGTTCCATTTCTTCAGTGTAGGTATGTAGACAGTATTAAGTGCTCAGAAAAGATAATGAATTTTTATTTTACTCTCTCATCATCCCTTGTCACTGCAGTCATCATAGAAAAGATTATAAGCATTGTGGAAAAATAAGATAAAAGAAGTCTTTTCAAGGTAGTGAAAATATATTTCACAGTAGCTCTTGCTGATGTAGATATTTAACTGTCAGTCTCTACTGCCAGCATGCAAATAGATGATGTTCAACAGACTCATTGTCTGTGTGATTTTTCTACCCTTTTGTATCTCAGGGAGAAAGAGGGAGGGATGTGATGGCTTTCTGTGAGTTGTAGATTCCATTTCACACACATTCCTCCAGACTCTTGTAAATGTTGTGTTTACAGCACATTATTTATTGGCAGTACTCACTTGCCAATGCACTTCATAACATCAGAGTTAGAATTTTCTAAGCACATGTGATCATCATCATCATGAGCATCATTTGAACATAACCTGTTTGGTGACCCATAATATAGTGACTTCTTTGCAATCATGTTCTGTACTTCACAGAATCACAGAATCGCTCGGT